ATCATCATCATCATCATCGTCATCATCATCATCATTATCATAAACCCAATAACCATTTATTTTCGTTTTGGAGAAAGTATTCAAATAATCGTTTGGATATTGTAAATGAATGCTTCAGTGTTGTTTTTGCAGGTTAATGCAGATGGTGTCATGAGCAAGCTGTGGTTTTCAAAACGAGTTGGTTCTCCTCTAGACGTTATTTCAGATATCGTCAATTACCAAGAGGAAGAAGGATGGGTCAAGGTAAGGTACAATTAATTGTTGTGGCATGTGGTAGCCATCGATCGATCGACGTTTCTCAAAAGAACCAAAACACAAGTCTACGCCCTCAATGGCATACCGTAATGATTCATATTTTTAGCATAAATTTATCAGAAAAAGTAATTCCCGGCAGTCGATTGATCTATATGTGCTCTTTCCCCCTAGACATCCCAAAAATTTCTTCATAATTCAAAATAGCGGCCCGATAGTAACAGGTCGTTTGATATAATAGGTTGGTAGTGGAGATCGATGGAAACTGACGATGGAGAAAAAACGACCAATAGTCTGGTTACATGGCGGACTCGAGGCACCGAAACTTGCAAGTCTTGCTCTCAAGTATAAAAAACTGAAAGTCCTAGTGTTTGAGGTACGTAGAGCATTTTTCCGTCGACCGTGTAGCCTGTACTACTTTTCTTTGATAAAAAAAGAAAAAATATTCAAGAGTGTTTAGTCTTCTGCTAAGTTTTATTCCTGGGCCAAATGGGAATTTAAAATTATGTACCAAAGTCAATGCAAATTACTACAACCTTGTGCTTCTGCGCATGCTCATGTTATCTTCATTGAATTCATTCGATACATATGAGATACAACGTTCGACCTACATTTTTTTATGGTCGGGGAATTCCTTAGAGTACTTTAGATAGAACGGAGAAGCTAGTGATAACAAGGAACATTGGAAGATCCTCTCTATCAATCGCATACTTAAGTATTCTTGTGGACCAATGGTTGTGYCTGTTCTTTTAACGTTCCTATTACTATCCATTAATAGGCACCCAAAAGTCTTTCGATTTTTTCACTCAAAATCGCCATCTTGGAGAGTAGCTGGATACATTTTAAACCGAACGGAATGCAAATTCAGACAATAGATCTCTTTCAAAACAAAAAAAAGAATTGCAAAGGTTCTTGGATACAAGCGGGTTTCTGATACTTTCTTTCTTTTTTTTTCCAGAGTCACCCGTTTGTCATGACTAAGAGGAGTGCGGTTGGAGGTGATATAGGCTACGAAGGATTTTGCATTGATTTGCTTAACGAATTGAAGAAAAAACTGCAGTTTGAATATGAAATCAGAAAGAGAGAGTCCCTTGGACAGAAACGAGTGGACGGAACATGGGACGGGATAATTGGAGACTTAACAAGACAGGTATAGTGTGTTAAAATATGAATATGAGGGCCGCATGGCACTACGAGATACATGATATAACTAGAAAAGGAAAGTTATAGTGCTGAGAAGGGGGTTATTCCGGGAGAAAGACCCTTGGAAATAAATTCGGAAAAATCAATTTCCGACCTCGCAGTTCAAACCCACGTATTTATTTCCAAGTGTCTTTCTCCCGGAATAACCTCCTTCTCAGGGTGTAGAAACTCATGTAAATCTCATCCAAAGCATTTTTGCTGATGGATAACGCTAAGCTAGCAAAAAAATTTCGTCCTACGAAGGACTTTCACCATCTTGATTCTCTAATCAATATACCATGTTGCACTTCGCCAAAACAAAATGGCGTCAATACAGGAAAATTTAAACCGTAAAATATCAATGACTATTTCTTCTTGCTTGCTTTAGAGAGCTGATCTAGCAGTATCCACTTTCACCATCAGCCCTGAGCGTGAAAAAGCTGTGGACTTCACACAGCCTTACTTCAGCCTCGGCTACAAGATCATCATGAAAAAGTCGTTCAACGAAAAGAGTACCAATCTGTGGGGGTTTCTAGATCCGTTTGAGGAAA